TCAATACACATGCTTAGTCTTTTTTACTTTATCAGCTTTTATATATAACAGAGGGATAGTATGGAGATCGTTCAAAAATGACCTCCCAAATGAGCCGAATTCTTAAGGTACTAAAATTTGTAAACTCTCTCTCTCTACGATGATAATGCGCGTAATTGCAAACTTATTTAAATGTGTGACGTACTGTACGTACTGTACGAAATTTCGTGCCGTCTAATAAATGTTTAATTGTAATTAATTATGTTGAGTGACTCTTTCCTTCCGTATGTCGTCATTTCTTACTCCATCCTATTACCTGCAGTCTCACATACGAGATCACGTTATTACCGTCAACAATCTGCTCAAAAACTCAAGTAGGGGGTAACCTGCTTGGTGTTTGAAATTTCCGAATTTATTGTGTAATCACTTATACAATAAATTAGCATTGAACAATAATTAAACTCTTCTACTTGCTTACTTGCTTATTTATATACATATTGTTACAAATAAATTATGATGATAAATGGTTTTGAACAAGCCAGTCTTTGGCAGTTTATCATCAGATTATTGTGGATAATTTAATGACTATTACGTACATTGTTAATAATTGTTCTATCATTAAAAAGAACGTGCAAAGCAAAATAATAAACAAACACCTTTATCGTTGCCGAGAAAATTTAATTAAAACAAACGTTTTCGTCCTATTCCATAGGCCCTCGTCAGGTTTAAAACGGACAATTGGAAGATTTCGCTCCACAAGATCGAATACAAATATTCAAATTTCAAAAAACTGACAACGGATTAAAAAGATAATACTGTATACTAATAATGTATAAAAAAATAGCCTTAGGGTACAATAAAGGCACAATAACAGGAATTGTTAGAAGATGAGAGAAGAGCATAAAAACGGGCTCAATACAAGGTCCCAGTAAAATCACAAAATTCGCTTATAACAGATATGCCAAAGGCATTATGAAAGAAATTGCAGACCGCAAAGGATCAACAATAATTCTAAAAAGAGCCCCGAACATATATAAAATTTTAAGAAATGACAAGGATAGCATTAGGAAGGAAGAAAAAGCAGGTGTGTATAGGATACCATACGAAAACCCGCAGCTTATACTCAAACTATACTCTAACCCCTTATACTCAAACTATACTTATACTCTAACCCCTTATACTCAAATTCCTTGTTGTAACGCCGATATAATCTTTCTTAATCCCCAATTAAGAAAGATTATATCGGCGTTACAACAAGGAATTTGAGTATAAGGCTAAAAAGTAGCACAAGTATAACATCAAAAAAAAGTTCGAACGCGACGATACTATCCCAGATGGCTCAGGCACAAAGTTCGGTAGTTAAATGGGATGATTCGGACATTATCAAGCCAGTGAGATCCCCAACATTAGCGAAGACTGCTGAGAAAATAGAGATTTATAAGAGCAAATTAAAGGAGACTTGTATTAATGCGAGGGACGCGGAAGACCTTCCATCGGCCTGGAAGTATATTGTTAAAAAATCTGTCGCAAACTCATAATTTACACTTTAATTTTATTGTATTAGTTGATACTTATATTTAGTAGTATTTCTGAGTTTATTTTATTTTATTCTTTGTTTTTACTATATTTTTTTATACNTGTTAAAAAATCTGCCGCAAACTCATAATTTACACTTTAATTTTATTGTATTAGTTGATACTTATATTTAGTAGTATTTCTGAGTTTATTTTATTTTATTCTTTGTTTTTACTATATTTTTTTATACATTACTAGTATATTATCTTTTTAATCCGTTATCAGTTTTTTTTTAAATTCGAATATTTGTATTCGATCTTGTGGAGCGAAATCTTCCAATTGTCCGTTTTAAACCTGACGATGGTTTATGGAATAGGTCGAAAACGTTTGTTTTAATTAACTTTTCTCAGCAACGACAAAGGTGTTTGGTTATTAATGACAATTGTTCTTACTGATCTCATATATATATAAACATAGATTCAACAATTAAACATTGACACAATATTTAGTGTGGCATAAATTTTTTTCAATTTTTACTACGAAATTCAGTTCCATATAAGATAATTTATAACATTGTAAAAACTAGTATACATGCATTACTAGTAATTTATTCTTCGATTAAATATAGTGCGAATTCGGCGTAACCTCATAATAGATTTTCCATAGAAATTGATAAATTTTAATTCAACATGTATTATTCTACGAAGTTATATTTATAAATCAAAATTTCTAATGTGCTTTTTAATACAAATGACATTGTAGCGTGTGTATTTCTGTATTATAACAAGCAAACAGAAGTGATTTTACAGAATCCATATGATCACATCCTGCCTACTTAATGTTTTAAATGTATGTACTTTTCAATTCTGGTAATGTTTCCTATTCTAGTAATATTATTAAGTATAAAATTATTGATTTACAGAGTGTGTCATACTACTGATATTAAAGACAATTTAAAGAGTTTGTGAAACAATTTCTTTCTTGAAATCTCTTCTGTCTAAATAAATAATGCGACAATATACCTATGTTTATTCTAATCACCCATCTATGAAGGTTTATTCAATTATTAAGACGTAGCAATACGTAACAATTAACAGATTTAATTTAGCGAAAATTAATTTTTACGCATACTTTAAAGTAAAACCTGTCCAAATCGGAACCTGAATAAAACGGAAACCTGCGTAAACAGGGAGAAAAAACTCTTCCAAACAAAGCGATTTTCTATGTTAAAACCAAACCAGAAAAAAAATTCGGTACCGCACGATTCCGGTTTACACAGGTTTTACTATATATATATATATCTATTATACATTTTTTATTATATGTTTTACACTTATTATATCAAATTATAGGGGAGACCAGGGCAAGATCGGCATGTTAAGCTTTACTTAAATTTTGTGTTATAAATACTGCTGTAAACTGAAAAAAAAGCTTTGCATATTGTCTATTGGGATGTTTTCTTACTATAGAACTGGTTAAAATCAGTTTGGAAATAAAAATAATTAAAACAATTACAACTTTACAAGAAGAGAGAAATTGACGAAGTTGCCCCGGGTATAGGGACAAGATCGGCAACTTCTCTCTTTTTGTAAAGTTGTAATTATTTTAATTATTTTTATTAAAGTTGCCCCTGGTATAGGGGCAACAGTAATGGGGCAAGATAGGCACGTATATAAAATTATGTTATTAACAATGTATAAGTTGGAATTCACTATTAAAACAAAGAAATACAAATCCAACACCCATTTAATATTATTACAACGAAATGCAAGTTCAAAGACATATATACATGAATAACAAATGCAAACATGTTTTCATTTATCATCTGTTTGATTTTTATCCTTTGCTTCTAATGTGGCTTT